CAAGGAAAGCCTAAGAAGGAACCTGATGGAGGGAGAGAGGTGCACTGCAGAGTCTTACAGATGCTTCTCTCTGGGAATGTAGAAGTGACAGTGATGCTTTGCAGATTGACCACACAAACCATCAAAGTGCAAATGGTGGACTAGTAAATGTAGAGATGGTTTAAACGCTGATCGCTGTAAATCATTCCTGGTCTGTTGAATAAGTGACAAGACATTCAGTGAACTCAGAATATGTCCTGAGGGAGGTGCAGGGATTCAGTGCCTGACTCCATCCCCTGTTATATAAGCACTGCTTTGGGTAATCGCTTTATCAACACATGAATAAGCTGATCCCTGGCCCTTGAAAAACTGCACAAATTTCATTTCAGCAATTTTAGTGACTGGACCAGAAGGCACAAAAGGGCTGTCTGTCTATTGCCGTATGACCCAATGGTGCTTGTAGGAGGGTTGAGAATTAGCTTGCCTGGGGAAGAGGCTGAGTGTGGGTATAGGTCCTGTTTAGACTCTTAAACTTAGCTGCAGTCAGTGCTGCCAAAAGACATCAAGCTTTGGGTTTGTTTACTTAGTTGGTGTCTTTCTATTTGCATGTTAGATTTGTAATTTTGATTTCTGTGAATTTGTTTTCTGTAAGAATTTTCATAGAAAGGAGTGAGATGAATTTTATTGTGGAATTGCAATCAAAATAAATGTAAGTGGAACTTGTCTAGATAAGAAGGTTTAGCAGTGAAGATGCATTGGTGGTTATATGCAAGGTGTATCCCCTGTAAGTGTGTTTACTGTGGAAAGTTTTTTGTGTGTTTTCCTGGCAGCCTATTGATGTTCCACTACAGCTCTGCTGTTAGAAGTCCCTTGTACACAAACCATCTGGAGGAGAGTGTCTTGTCCGTTAATTAAACAAGTTGTGATTTGATTTGGAAGAGCTTCGTGGGCTCTGTGATGTGAACCCTTTCTCTCTAGTTAGAATGTACTGTGTGTGAGGGTGATGAGACCCTGGCGCAGGTTGCCCAGTGAGGCTGTGGATGCCCCTCCATGGAAGCACTCAAGGCCAGCCTGGATGGGGCTGTGAGCAGCTGTGATGGAGAGAGGTGTCCCTGCCTACAGCAGGGGCGGGAACTGGGTGATCTTAAAGGTCCATTCCAACCCCAACCATTCTATAGCTCTGTGATCCTATGATTCTGTGAAAATCAACGTCACTATTCCTCCAATATGAACCATGACAACACAGAATAGATTTTACTGTGGCCGTGCAACTGTGATGTCTTCCTTAAATAACTGCTTGCCTTCCTGGATCCAACAATGCTGATTTAAATCCTAGAATCTGAGGCTGATGAATGGATTTGGCTTTTAAAAGCCTTCTCTTGCACTCTAAGTGTAAGAGAACTTGGGCTTTTGCAAGTCTATGGCTGATACCTCGGAAAGCAAAGCAGATAAACATACCCGATGGAGGACAATAGCATCATTTCACAATACTTTTTTAATCTTGATATCTTGACTGTCATACTCTGTGATCTACGAATAGCTGATCTGCTATGCAGTTTTACTGTCTACACCAATGTATTACTTGTACACCAATGATTTCTTGCAGCCACCCAGAAGAGGCTTTTTCACGTTTGCCAGGAAACAGTCAGAGGCCTGTAGGCTATTCCTTTTGTATTTATTATTTATGAATTGCTTCTCGCTTTGGTATATAAGAGCCATTGAAGTCCTCAATCACTGCCACCGGCTCCATGTTCATACACTTCATTTAGTGAAGAGCCTCCCTGTAGTTCTCTTGCTTGTGCCGCACGTAGTGGTACAAGAGGTCACTGGAAACTTGTCACCTAAAACCCAGCAGGAATGCTGAAAACAATTTGGGTTTTGGTTTACTGAAACATGAGTCAGTGGGTATTGAAGTGTCAGCATTTTCAGAAGAACTGCCAGCGAATGCAGTGCAGATGTGGCACATTTGAAGAGAAAACATTGATTCTCTGCAGCCCAGTCCTTTTGCTTTTTGGAGAACATTATGTCTTTCCTGATCACGTCAATGCATAATTCAGTGTTTCCTAACTGTGGTCAGTGCCAGATGTTTCAGGCGCTGTGCTTTGTTCATTATTGGCCAGTCACCATCAAAGCCTTTGAGCACTTCAATACCTTCAGCTTGAACAAACTCACGGTATTACAAGACTGATGATAGAAAAGGAGAGAAGGAACTATTTCAACAAGTGATCAGCACTAATTGCAGGGATGGAAACCTTACCTGATGGTGAATTGGAGCTGTGAAAGGCATGCTGCAGAATAGCTGCTCTGACAGAATAATTGAGTATATGGAGGAGCCAGTGCTGTCTTCACTGTGCTTTGGCTATAGTTCTTTCCCTCCCTAATAGGTCAGATTTAGGGAGAAGTCCTAATGCAATGGAGGATCAGCATGGAAAATGAGGGTTACTATTTCATGTCATATTCTGGTTTTGTTTGCTGTTTACTTTTCCTGTCCATCTTGTAGGGTTGCCTCGCTTTTGAGGGAGAGCTGATCTGATTATGTGTTATAGCATCACCCAGAACATACGTTCACACATCTCCTGTGCAAGATTTCAGTGTTAGTGTGGATAAAGAACTATTCCTAGTCAAAGATCTAGATGAAAATGTACTATTTTAGAATGTAAGAGGAAATTGTTGGTTATAGACTTGGGGCCAGAGAAGAGGCCCTGAGCATAATTTATTTAGTGACTAAAAATAGCCTTCAGATGCATATACAGCTCAATTTGACATTGAAATGATTCTCAGGAAGCCACGTGAATTCTCTCAAACCACAGTTTGTGCTTTCTTGTGTAAATTATCACAATGGTCTTGGAGAACATGCTGATGGACGTGAGTAAGCAGTGCACCTTGCAACAGTGAGTGCAACTAAAGAATAAGGAGAGTGGGATCCAGTTGCTGTTTGCTTACAGATGAAGTGAAACCAGAAACTTTTCTCTGGAATGCACCGTGGTAGAACCAGAGGCAACAAAGAATCAGTAACGGCTGTTCTTAAACTTAATTGCTGTTAAGCATTGGCACAGATTGCCCAGAGAAGTTCTGAAGGTCCTGTGGGAATATTCAGAACTTCACTGGACTAGATTCTGAGCAAGCTGATGTAAAGCGCCCCTGTTTTAAGCAAAAGATAGTACTGGATAGCTTACAGAGGTACCAGTCCAATTTATTTCATGGTTATGGCCAACTGAGAGGATGATCACATTTCTGCTGATTTTTAAAAATGCAAGTGTAAGATACATGTCAGGTTTCCTTTTAGAAATTTGTCTGGGTGTTGTTTTTCCTCTCTATTCTACTTCTAGAGAAAGAAGTACAGGAAGACAGAGACAGGATATTGTGGGATTGCTACTGACAGGCTTCTGTTGGCCAGGGTTGGGAAGGGGACTTCTGAAGTCACTGCAGAGAGTAAGAAGTCTGCAGAACAGACCCATGGCTGCTGCTGCTCTTGCACAGGCTGTAGAGTTCCCTGAGCGAACATCTCTGTATCAGCACCATCGTGATTCCTCCTCAGGCTTGAGTGTGGCAAGGTTTGGGGCTGTTGCCATGTATGGTGGAAATGCTAAAAGGCACAGCTTGAAACAGTGATGGAGCACCTGGTGGGAAAGCAAGGCCAGCCCAGGGGAGCTCAGCTGCATGCAGTGTACTGAGTGACCAGAAGGGCTGGAGACAGGATCCATCCCTTCCCAGCCCTCATTTAAGGGTTGGCAGTGGTGTCACACATATCTCTGGAGATGCCTGCATTCCTGAGGCCTTCTGAAGGTAAGCAGCTTCTTTCTTTTGCTTCTGTGCCCACTGCTGATGCATTTGAGCAAGTCCTTGCTTGCTGCAATCTAGGGCCTTGCTATTCAGCTGACACTGTTGTGCTTTCCATTATGTTACACCATGGAAACCTGACTGCAATCAATCCTGTTTAGCTCAGCATAACTTTAATGAGGTTTTGTCACGCTTTGTTCTTTTTAACAAATTTATTATTATGAATAACGCTGTCTTGTAACAGACAGAAGAGATTTGATTTCTGCATATGGTTTTTCTTCTAACTTTATTGAAACTTGATAAAAACAAGAAGGAAATAGTACGTTGCGAAGGGAGATCTAAGGTATAACTGGTGTGCCATGATGTTCTCATCCAGCAAACTATAAGTACTTGCACCAGATTTACCCCTTAGCAGCTCTGAGTCTGGGTCTTTCTTACCTGTTACTGTTGTAGGGTTACAGGAAAGCTGGGGTGGGAAGGGACTGTTGTTATCTAGTCCAACCTCCTACTCAAAGCAGGATCAACTAAGAGATCAGATCAGGTTACTCAAAGCTTTATTCATGGAGATCCTGAAGTAACAGAGACTGTGGGACCTCTCTGGGTACCCTGTTCCACTGACTGACTGCCCTCGCTGTGAAAAGCTACTCCATACACATAGTCTGAAATACTCATTGCAGTTCGTGCCTGATGTTCTTCCAGCATGTGCTCCTGTGGAGGGTTTAACTCCACCTCCTCGATAACCTCCCTATACACACTGTCAGACTGCTTTTATTTTCCCCAAAAGCTGCCTTTTTCCAGCAGGTCAAGTGTTCCAGCTCCTGTTCATCTCAGTGACCCATGGCTGCGCTCACTCCAATTTATCAATGGCTGTCTTGTACTGGTGGACCAAAAGTTGCATGTAGTATCGCGATACAGTGTAAATGATGAGTCTGGCTCAGCTGCATTTCCTGTAGTCTTGGTATTTGTACCAGTGCAAGTGGTACGAGTGTACTAAGAGGAAGCAATATAGAGATGCTTCAGATTTAAGGACATATAACACTACTGAAGGACGAACTGCTCAACCTCTCTCTCTCAGACTCTGTCAGTGTCTATCTTCTTTTCCTGTATGTGATGATGAGTAATAAAATCTATGGCCCTCACTGTTTTAGTTGTGTTTGTTAAACTGCACTAGTTTACTAATAATTAACTTAATAATTAACTTACCTGTCACTAATGATGGTTTGTGTCATGTTTTTTTGCAGGTTACATATCACAAGTACTAAAGAATTACACTGACCATGCCTGTGATGGAGAATATGTCTCCCTGAGATGCCCTCACAGAACCACCATCAGCATCCAGTCTTCTTTCTATGGCAGAATTGTACCAAGTCACCAGATGTGTCCTTCTCGCTCTCCCCGCTCCCACGCGACTTTAATTAAGGAAGATGTTGCCTGTTCCGTTGGCACTTCACTTCAGGTATTTCATGCTAAACTGGATCTGCTCATTCTGGAGTTCTTTTCCTAGACCAGGCATTTAGTTTTCTTATGGTTCTATCAATAATAGTTCAGGCATATGATTAAAAAGGAGTATTCTGGAAGACCAGATTGTGTTTGGACTGTGTTTCAAGACTTCTTCGTACTCCTCCTTCCCGATAGCTTTTTCAACACACTTAGGAGTTTCTCTGCTGTTTCTGGTTTCTCTGGCTTCTTACTTCAGAAATGATCCTGTCTCGAGGCTTTTACTTCAGTTACATGAAATCCAGAGGCAATCCTTGAGTTCTGTGCCTGACTCATTTGGCTCTTAGGCCGCTGTAAGTGATAATACATCACTTAAGCTTGTTATCTCCCAGTTAACCAACTCTGTCCATTTCTGTAGGGAATGCTGACTATATGCACGTGTAACTTGAGCAAATCAGAGGATTATATGGAAGGTGCCATTGTTAGTCAGCTGTCAGTAAGAGCAACAAAAATTAGAAACATTACTGGGCTGATCTGTGATGAGTGATCTGCTCCCCAGAGCAAAAGAAAGCCCACTTCTTTCTACGTGCACACTTTGAGACTGAAAATCCGAGGCCAGAGACTTTTCTTTAGCATGCTGTGTGTTTATAGCTATGAACCAGTAGTAACTTGTAGTAAAGCTTAGAGCTAGATTAATGAACCCACAGAGCTAGTGAATAATTTCATTTATAACTCGCATAAAGGCCAGTGTTTCCCCCATCACTTCTCATTCTTTCATCCAGGGTTTTTTCTGACTGAAGGCTTTAGCAGAGTCTGCCTTCCCTTTTTTGTTTCTTTTCATGATTACATTTACTTGAAACATCATTGATACTGGTGCATATAAGCTCATCTCCTCTGAGTGAGTGGCCCACTTAAAGCAACTGGAAGAATTTGAGAGCAAGGGAGATGAAATCTTTAGATAGTGTAAACGAGAGCTGGATCTCATCATCTTTCTCAGACCTGGAAAGGCTGATGCCTCTCTGAAGGGTAAGCGAGGCTCTCCACAAGCTGAATAGCAGGGTGCCTGCATCTACGTGGTGGAAATGCACATATGTAAGAAAATTGGACATAGAAAAGAAAACTAGACAATAAAATTGGATTTATTATGTTTATTCTTGGTTATGTTGGTTGCTATAGACAGGAAAGTTAGGTTTGTATTCTGATTGGTGCTAATTTAAAAAGCCAGCTAAACCAAACCTTGCCAAATTAAGTATGCAAAATCACCATGTCTAATCAAGCCCATGACTACATACTATTACTATACTGTACATGCTCTTATCTTGAGATTGGCCTGGAGTGTAAGAGACAGGTACTAATACCATTCTCCCTGAACACTACCTGTGCATACTTGTGCATAATGGTTGCTCTCTGTCCTATAAATATCCAGTTCAGACATAGAAACAATGGAAAGTTGAAAAAAGGTGTTGATTACACTGAGGCAACCAAAGGTAGTCCAGTCTTATGTGACGAGTGGCCTGGATGCTTTGCTTAATCATGCTTTTATTTGAAATGAAATGCATTCCATTTAGGAGAATGTGTCCAAGATGTGAAGGCAGTGACCCCAAACTGCATGTATGGAGATACCAGAAAAACAAAAATGAAGTTGTGTTGAAAGCCAGATATTTGTTTTGTGAACAGCCTCCTATTCCACTCTGTTTAACAGGGGAACCTAAAATTAGCACAAGACACTTGAGATGTGTTGTAGGAAGTAAGAGAGATTTGTGCTGTATTCAAGAAGATGATTTAAAGCTGAGGGTGTAGAAATTGCCCACTCACCCTTTCATATGAGGAGCAAATATTGTGCTCTGACGCGTCATTAGACAGTCTGGTCTGGAACTGTTTCTTCTGTACCTTCTCCGTAGAGTTCTGCAGGAAATAGCTGGGATGTGCCTGAAGTGAGATACATGACACAGCTCTGCTGTCACCTTCTCCCACAGGCACTTCAGCAGTATATGAAGCAGCCCTGCAAAAGGGAGCAGCAGATTCCTTGCATGCTAACCGCAGGACACCCTCAGCACTTCCTCCCCTTTTTTTAAAAGGATAGGAAGATTTATGTGATAGAAAGCAGAGGAAAGCTGACCTCTTTGGGGCTTAAAATATTAGGTAAACTGTTCATTAGCTGCAAGACTTCCAAATCATGAGCTGAGAGTTGGTCAGAAGGCGATGGAGCTAGAGGTGTCTATGTGTTATGGAGGGTTTTATTTTCTCCAAGCATCATAGTTTAGTGTGGCTTTATAGTGTGGTAAAGTAAAATAGAAAGGAGAAGAAAATGATTCAATTACTGTGACTTTTTGGGAAGGGTAGTGGTTACTTGTCGTGCCCAGTCTCAGGATGTTGTACAGTGCCACTGATGTAACACTGATGTAAGGCCACTGAGGTGCCCTCACCAGGAACTGGGGTCCTGCTGTACTGGTATTATAAAGACACAAAGGAAGAGCCCTTCCTTTGTCTCCAAACAACCTGTAAGATGATGATGGTCAGAGGGAAAGAGAGGGAAAAATGACAGAAAGGAAGAAAGGAATTTACACCAGACCACACTGTGGTCAGTACAGCAGGGAGAGCTCAGGGCTTGTCACATTGCACATCACATTTCCAGGATTTACAGACAATTTGAGCAGGAAAAGTTTCAGAGACTCCAGTGAATTCAAGAGCAGAATTTGGGCAACTCTTCATCAAACTGTGCTGTTTGTTTTGCAGGTGCTCGTGAGCAGTGAGTTGAGGGTGCACAGGAGGTTACTGCAGTGCCAAAGCTGCTCCTATAAAAAGCTATGGAACCTGTGCACCTTCATTCATGCACTGTGCACTGCCTGAAATACAGCTCTCTGGCAGTCATCTCCCGGCTAACGATTTGCAAATCGAAGATCTGTTTGATGCAGAGATCGCAGATATCTCTACATTGTATCTTTGACGTCTTTCCTTGGCTGAAATAGTTTATCAGAGCATTTTGAAGTGCAGTGGAAGGAGAGGTGTGACAGGCAGAGGCTCCTGTCTCCCTGAAGAGGCAGGACTGCTCCCTGAGTTGTAAGCCTCCTAAAGCTTTGTTTACTGTAAATTTAAACTTTCCAAGTCATGGGGCTTCTGTCACTGCTTCCAAGACTCTGCTTGACAGTGTAATGGTTTGCTCTGAGTGATTTTTCTCCACTCTGTTTTACGCTTTCCCTTTCCTTAATCCCATGACTTTCAGTTATGTATCCTTTTGTATTTCTTTAGCTTAGCCTTCCTTGCCCTTTGAAGTCAGCCCTCCACACGTATTAGGTTTCCCACTGTTAGGAAATGCAGGTAATGGTTAATTAGGCAGTAGTGCATTTTTTACTAGCTCTAGTTACTGAACATAGTGCAGTTCTTTGCACATTGCTGTCTCCGGGCTCTTTCAAGGTTCTTGCAGAGGAGCTCTGGAAAATCTTGGTGCTGTTTTCCAGCATTTTAGTACCACTGCTGCCTGCACTACTCACCTTGCTGGAATTTACTTCCATAGCAGAGCTCATGCACGCCCAATTTTCAGCTATTTTTCAGTCTGGTTTGTTGGTGTATGTCACCAGTTATGTGGGTATAGTTTCCTTCTGCTAACTCCATGGTGAGCATCAGAAAGTCCATGGGGGAGTAATAAAGGAGAGCTAGTGGAGCACTAAAACATGCCATAGATCAATGGTCAAATCCAGGGCCTCTGTGCTCTTCTTAATTTAATGAGCAGTTTGGATACGGCGCTTTGGGCAAAACTAAATTACTTTCCTGAGGAGCAGGGAAGGTTTCTTGATAATACCGTAGACAAGTGACCTGCATCTCAGCAGTACACAGTCCAGTTCCTCCTGTACTCTTTCCTTCCCTGTTGCTGATCCTTCAAATATCTTCTTGCTGCATTAATGTGCAATCTGCACATAACTGGCAGAAGGCTCTCAAAATAAGATTGCAGCATTAAAATATGAAGTCTACAGTGTGTTAGGGTAACACTAACAATCTGAGATATATAAAAGAGTGTTAAAATTCAAATAAAACGTGACATAAAGCCATTATGAAGCCATTGTGCTGTGTGTCAGCATGGAGAGAATTAATGCTGCCTTGTTTGTTCTATTTACTTCTCATTGCAAAGCTCATGGAAGAATACCAACCTATGTGTTGGTTTAATTCTACCATAGTGGCAGTGCTTGGGCTGAGTGTGACCTAGAAATGATTGATTATATTTTAATTATTGTTATCTTCTTGTGTAAAATTCTTAGTACCAGCCTGTGCCCATCTTCATCTGGCACGCAGCTCTGAACCATTCTTAAGCTCACACCCTGAATTCTTATCTTCTGCAGCATACAATTTGGAAATCATTTAGCGGGGTTCCTCTGTGCAATTTCATGCCTGAACTGATGTGACCTGAAGTCATCCTTATGTTCCTTTGATGACAGAGGCTGCGCAGAGAGAAGTTGTATGTCAGAATCCCAGCTCCCATGGAATATCATCATTGGCTTCTATGGCTTAGGGTTTCACCCCGAATGTTTTAAATCTATGAGCTACTGCAAGGTACTAAGAGCTAAGATAAATTTAATTACCTTGGGTATTAAGCTCAGTTGTGGTCTATTTTAAGCATGAGCACAAGTATTTCTTCAAGAGTGATTTGGAGAGATAAAAATGAGTGCATCCTTGGGAATAGCTGAGGACAGCCTCCTTGGGAGTAGCTGAGGACAGCCTTGTTTCAGAGCTCCCATTCAGTTCCAGATTAAACAGTTGATAAGTAATGACCACAAGCAATTACTACGCTAACAAGCTCAGCAAAACGAGCACAAGAAATGTGTTTCACCTGTAGTGTCCTCTTCCAAGACATGGTTTTGATCTCGAGACTGCCCTTGCTTTAGGACCTGGGTCACTGCAGTGAGATTAATCCAGGGCGTAAATCACAGGGATTGGATTAGTGGTTGTTTTACTTGAGTTCACATTTCTTTCTCTGTTATCTCCTCCAAATCTTGCAGCCTCTTAGCTCAGTCATGGACCTCAGAATGGAACGGCTTTAAGCAGCTACAGCTTCCCTCCTGATCACTGGCTGTCAGCCCTCAGGCTTGATTTACCAATGAAAAACTACTATAAAATGGCACAACACAATTAAAGTGTCCTCCCTCCTCTTTCATGCCAGACAGGAATTTCTCCTCCACCTTCTTTTGTTGGAGTGACTTTTTTTTTTTTTACATAATGTATCCTACATGACTTCATTTTGTGTTACTCAGGAGTCTGCTAGCTGACTTTAGCATAAACAGCTCATTATGTGTACAGGTTGGGAGCCATTTTGTGTTTCTAAAACTATTTCTATGCAAATTCATTTTGCTCATGGGCATATTTTTTTTTCTGATTGTGTATTTCTATCTTTACAAATGACAGAGAGAAAAGAATAGAATGCCTGAATTTTTCAGCCATTCATCAAATGCTTGTGAGTTTAGGATACTCTCACATCATCAAGAAAACTCACAGCCTTCCTGGGGTCAGTCTAGCTGATCATCTCCAAATTCAGAAATGTTCGCATTTAGCCCTGCAGAGAAGGACCTGGGGGTCCTGGGTGTGAAAAACTGAGCATGAGCCAGCAGTGTGCTCATGCAGCTTGGGAATCAAATGGTGTCCTGGGCTCCATCAGCAGAGGGGTGGCCAGCAGGGACAGGGAGGTGATTGTCCCCCTCTGCTCTGCTCTTGTGAGGCCCCATCTGCAGCTCTGCGTCCAGGGCTGGGGGCTTCAGTACAAGAAAGACAGGGAGCTGTTGGAGAGGGTCCAGAGGAGCCACAGAGATGAGCAGAGGGCTGCAGCACCTCCACTACAAAGACAGGCTGAGGGAGCTGGGCTTGTTCAGCATGGAGAAGAGAAGCTGCGGGGTGACCTCAGTGCAGCCTGCAGTACCTAAAGGGAGCCTGCAGACAGGAGGGGAGTCAGCTCTTGGAAAGGGGAGATGACAGCAGGACAAGGGGAAATGGTTTGGAGTTGAGGGAGGGCAGATGGAGGTTGGATGTCAGGGGAAGTTGTGTGCTGTGAGAGTGGTGAGGTGCTGGAACAGCTGCCCAGAGAGGCTGTGATGCCCCGTCCATCCCTGGAGGTGTTCAAGGCCAGGTTGGATGGGGCCCTGGGCAGCCCGGGCTGCTGTGAAATGTGGAACAATTCCTGTGATCCTGGAGAGCAAATCTGAAATCCTCTTACCTTGCATGAAATAAAACAGCCTGACTTACACGTACAAATATCAACTCAGCAGTTGGTGGCCCTGCATGGCACAGGGGGGTTGGAGCTTCGTGATCCTTGAGGTCCCTTCCAACCCAGGCCGTTCTGTGATCTGGCATCCACTGAAGCTCAGATCTTGCCTAGAATTGTAATTTTTAAGAGTAAGAACAGAAAGCTGTGGTCTTGGTCTGTGACCTGTTATGCATTTCACCGTTGGTGTGTGCTTTGTAGGGTCACTGCAGAGTTTAAGTATTGTGCATACTACTGATAGTAATGGGGAATACATTTTCTGTGCACGTCAGGATAGGTGAAAATTGTATGCACCAGGTTTTAAATTGATGTTAGGTCTGGCACAACTTGTTTGCTGATTTTTCATTTTACACTTTGTGGATATATTGAATTTTATCCAAGGCTTTACCCAAACAGTCTGCAGGAAGTCAGAAATCTTAATGATTTTTTGATGATTTTTTTTCAAGAACCTGGGGATGGTGCATCAGAATTATGTGAATGAAAAGGAAATGTTGATTTCTACTCCCTACGGAGTAACTCTGCAGAATTATGGCAGTTATCCAGTTATCCAGTTGAAACTGTAGATGAACGATGAAGCCAGTCAGAAGAGTCATTAATAGAAGGTGCATTCAGCCTAAATAACATTTCTCATTTTCTGCCCTCTCACAATGGCATGGATGACTTTTGCTCCTTCATTTAGGTATAAATTTCTCCTTAGGGCTGTTACTCTCAGTACCACTGAAAAGAAGTTCAGGATGTTCCTCTTACATGGGAAATATTGAGTAAGAGTTACCACAGATCAGAGCAGGGCATGACAAAGTTTTCTGACCTAAATTATGATTCTGTGGTTCTGAAGTGGCAATTTGTGGAGCCTGAGGTTGTGAAGCAATCACCTTTGTTCTTGGTTCTGCATCTAAGGACAGATGAACATGTGTTGCTTGTTGAAGCAAAAACTTCCAAAGCAGCTTCTTGTTGGTCTCTAAATCCACTGTGCTTTTCCCACTGGTTTTAGTGGCGCCTATTGCACAACACCAAGCCCCTAATAAGCAGTGGTGAAAATTCTACCCGTTGTGGTATGGAAAGGTTTGCTGACCAAAAAGCAGAGTGCTGCCTTTGAGGAGACAAAACTCCCTTGTGGGAAAGAAAACTTTCGCGGTGTTCCTAATTTCCTTTAGCTGCATATCTGTGGCACTGTGTAGGTGTAAAGTCATGGTTGAGCAGTAGTAGAAAATCTTTTCAGGTCCACTATGATTTGGAGAAGGTCTCTTACCATGTATGAAGCTCTCAAGAGTTGTTCCAGCTGTTCCTTGCCTTGTGAGATCAAAAGAGGTATCTGCATAGAGGTCTTACTTGAATTCCTTTGCAATTCTTTGGACTTTGCATTAAATCAAATTTCATATGCTTAGTTAGCTGTTAACCCTGGGAGTCCAGAAAAAGGAATATGCTGTTTCTGTGCATTTTAACATACTGGTCAAGCTAGGGGTAGTGCTTGCGGGCCCTTTCATACTGTTCACTTTTAATCCTTTCCATCCTAAGCCCTGTTTTTTGAGATGAGATGCCTGCGTTTTATTACCTTCATGAGTGCAAAACAACAGCAGCACATGCTTTCTGTGCTCTAGAAAAGGCTTGAATAGTCATGGATTAAAATTTAAAACAAAGATTGTGTAGGCACAAATTCTTGCATGTATGAGCCTGAAAGGTGAAAACTTTAGGAAGCTGTGAGCAACTGTCAGTGAGGCGCTCCCAGACTGAACAGAAACTGGAGCAGAAATTGCTGTTGTTTAAAGGATGATGTTCAGAGTTATAATGCTGAAGATAATAGATACTATGTTCAGGGAGAGCTCAAAAATAGAGAACCGTTGAGGCAGGGACAAAATGGGTTTGGGAGGCATGCTGTGGCCTTTAGGTAATAGCATAAAGATGAGATTGAGGGAAAGTCCAATATCAGGGTAGGTACAAGCAAATGAAATGGAGGGGAACCTGGGAGAGCTTCTGGGAGAAGATTTTCTAGCAACTCCTTGCAAGAGGAAATTAATTGTTTTGAGACTGGAATTCATAGCTCTGAATGGCAGAGGCTGAGCAAGGTTGTGGGATTGCCTCGCTCTGCGGTCTCAAAACGCTTTGACACAGGTTCATGTGTGTCAGACAAACATTATGTTAGTGTTGGTGCTTTAGGGGCTCTAAAGGAGGATATCTAAGCCATCCAGCTGGATTTAAAATGTAATTACTGCTCCACTTAATAATATTCCCTCTGCCCCACTTCTGCTCTGAAGAATCATATGGTTAGAAAAAAAAAATCATTAATCTTCCTTAATGAAGTTACTTTCTAGCAGGAGACAGAATGCCTCGTCCCTGTGGATTCTGAGACAGTTCTGTGAGTGTTATGAATGGGGAGGTGGGAAGCCAGTGTTGGAGGAAAAGTAGTGTGAAAAAATGGAGATAAGGCCCAAAATACCAGTGGTAGGAGGACCCTGTGACTCACAGACCCATGGTGAGTTTAGCTAAAAGGAAAGCGAAAGTCACAGGGAAGAGAGTGTGCTTAGACAACTTACTGAAGTATCAGCATTCCCACCACAAGGACTAATTATTGGAACACCAGCTATTGCCAAAACGTTCCCTTACCAGTAAGAGAGCTTTTCTGAAACCTGTGGTTGAAACTGAATCTGCAGAGGAAGCTGAAGCAGAATGGTGTGGGCAGTGCTTGGGGCTGCTGTTAACAGTTAGGGCTGATCCATCTCCTCCACATTGCTTTTCCTGGGACACACTGCTGGTGCTGCCTGATGCTATGATTAAACTGTATGAGTCTTCCAAAGTCTCTGCCAGCAGTCTAATGCATTCTCTTTGCATGCATGAAAGGAAAACGTGCTCACTGAAATAGTGCAAATTTTAGTTATCTGCTTCGCTGCATAGCTCCATCAGCACCCATTGCTTTCAGCTGGTCATAGGGTCATTGCTGGGGTGGCTAAGGAGGTAGGAACTGCCGTGCTGTCTGTCCTTCAACTTGCCTGTATTTGATGGTTCCTTAGGGAGGTACTGAAGTGCTTTCGTTTTCTGTTCCATGTTTGTGCATCCCCTGCTGCAGAAGATGCTGGATGAGTGCCAGGACAGACGGAGCTGCCGGTTCCTTGTCAGCAGCCGGCTGTTTGGCGTAGATCCGTGCCCTGAAACAGCCAAATACCTCCTCGTGTGGTATAAGTGCAGGCCAAGTGAGTATCTCTCCATCAGATCTGCTTTTTTCCTGGTGAGACAAAAACAATTTTGTGCTTAGTCCTTGCCAGCAAGAACTTCTGGTACTTTTTGTTCCCTTCCACCTTTATTTTCAGTGTAACATAATGCCTGGGTGCAGAGCGTTTCCCCTCTCCCCCTCATTTGCTGCATTGCTCTTGCTGCTGCTCTGTCTCTTCCTCTCTTCCCAGCAGCCTGCAATGAAGATTGTTTTTGCAGGTGCCAGTGGAAGTCTTTTGCCAAGACTTAGCTCATGCTGCCCTGCAATACTGCTGGCAATGAAGGGGCTGCTGCAGCTCCTATCTGGTTCCAGACTCGGTCACTGCTGCCCAGACAAGCTGTAGATACCTCATCCCTGAAGGTACCCAAGGCCATGGAACACCTGGACAGCCTGATGTGGTGAGGGGCAGCCAGCTCACAGCAGGTGTTGGATTGGATAGACTTGGAGGTCCCATCCAACCCAAACCGTTCTGTGACTCTACAATCTTCTCTAAGCTAGTGGGACTCATCCCCTCTATTTCTGCCCACAGCAGCATAGGGACAGCCTGAGTGGATGAAGATTTTTATTCAGGTGCCTAAAGTGAGCAGTTAGGGCCATAAGTCAGTGCCACACTCACCATGCCATATCATAATCTAGCTTTTAATTGCTTCCAGATCAGGCTCGAAAATATTAACCTTTTCTTTGCTTTTCTCATTAGCTGTGTTTAAATTAAATGAGGCCAGGGGGTACTAGGAGAGCAGTCATGCCTGCTGCACTGCAGTGAGGTCAGTGTGGTTTTAGACAGGGACAGCTGACACCTTGGCCAATTCCTGGCCCTGCTAGGGCAGTCAGCATGATGTGGACACTGTCCCCTCGGGTGCTCTGGCAGCAGACACATCATCCTGGAGGCAGATAAGAGTCTAGCAGTGACCAAACTGTGCCACCAGATTTCATCCAGAGGAAAGACGCTGACAGCCTGTAAGTTGTTAGCCTGGATTTGAGATTTCAGCCCTTTTGATTACGTTAGTGACATGGTGCTACCATCACACCGGCAAAATTTTGGGGGGAAAAAAAGATGTTTACATAGGAAAGTAAAACATAACTGATTTCAGAAAAAAATTTGAAACAACAGAAGAAATATTTAAAAACTAAGCTGCAGAGGAGAATACTTTTTGCCTCAGCATGCAGAGACCTGTGCTAAGTAAAGAGATCTGGCAGAACCTATGAGGAATTCAAATGAAAAGTTGGTAATGTAGCACCTGCATTTACTGTGGGGCTTTCTGAGTGATTGGAACATTCCCCGTTAGGTGAGAAGCACATCTCTGTGAAGCAGGAGTGATTAACAGGGTGTTCTGACAAGTCCTCGTAAACCTGGGGGTTTTGTATGAAAGCTCACTTGAGAAATCTGATTATTGAGGCCAGACTGAACTTCTGAAAGTACTTCAGGATCCCATCTGTGCATAAATATTTATGGCTTGGCATTCTTTGCTAATTACAGCTATGCTAGAAAAGAAAGAGTACGTGTGTGTGTACAGAGTGAGTGATTTTCCTGAGAAAGAGAGCAGGGGAAGTTGCTTAAAAACATTTCCCCAAGACAGTTTTTTTCAGGCGTTTTCCCATTTTGCAGGGCAAAATAGTAATCTGGCAGCAACACTTTGCCACTGGGCAAACCTTAATCAAACCCACTGCATTAATAACAAAGTTTAAAATACACGAGGATCAGCCTTGCATAGAGATACCAATGCACTTTCTACCTTTCTTTGATGATTCAGAACTCTAAGCCTCAGCAATGCTCGAGTCTGGTAACCAAGCCTTTTCACTCTGCAGAACACTCTCAGAATGTTAATGAGCAGACTGATGAAGATGGTTCATAGAACGCACAGTGCAGGACCGTGATACGCCTTGCTCATTTCTTCTGAGCTACAGATGAATCCAGTGGAAGGCCTTCATGCTTAATAAGTGATCCCAAAAGCTGTGGTCCCATGAAATGTTGGTCTGCTCCAGAAAGTCTGAGCACCCGTAGTTGTAACAGTCACTGGTGTCACTGGTGACAGCTCACTGCCTGACACATGCTTTGATCCATCATTTTGTCAGAGTCAGAACATGGCTTACGTTGGAAGGGGCCTGAAAGAGCGTCTGATTTAAACTCCCAGAAGATTGCAGAAGACAGATGCAATTTTTTGGCCTATGTCTCTTTTTAACAGTAGGCATGATAGTAGTGCTTTATTAAGAAGCCTCTTAAGGTCTGAACTGTATTCTAGAGATATCTTTTTTTTGTCTGTTTTTGCCTATTGAGGGAGCCTGATGTGATCGCGCAACTGAAGGTAGCTGCCTTGGTTAAGTGCCCACCTAGGTAGCCCTTGAAATCTAATGATTTCAGTGCTCACTGGTGTTGCGGGGTTGATTCATAAAGCAAGGTTGATTCTCAGAGGCAGAATTTCTAGGAAATATGGACCAGTATATCACGCTGAAACTGAAAGCCCAGATGTTCCAAATTATGAGGCTCCAGTAAATAGGGTGTGCTGCAGTAACTGCTTGGAGTCTGCTTTCACAGTGTTTATTTGACAAGAGGTAGTGAGAAATACAATGGCTTGTGTGGTTTGGGAAGTCCTGTGCTGTCCCCAGTAATCTAATTGCTGCTTCTGGGATCTAGCCAACACTCATCTGCCTCTGGAGGGCTCAGATATATACTTGGGACAGCTTTAGCAGATCATCCTGCTACCTGCAGCCTCACTAAAGATCCCCAAAGGATCGCTGCAGAATGGGCAGTGTTATTCCCAACAGTGAGACCTGGAGCTATTCAAGTGCAAGCGTTGATGTAGCCTCAAACAAGCAGTGCCACGGAGCTGCTCCGCGTATGGGAACTCCAGACAGGGTCCTGGCTCTGCTGAAGGTGGGCCAACCAGTGCTGCCCTGAGCAACTCCCAGACCCAAATGTGATGTTCAGCACTGGGCAGGGATGATTTCCAATAGAAGGTTTGGATGTAGTCACCCTGTTTTGGAAGGTAAGGAAGTCTGTAACAGTGGCTATGAATTCTTCCGTGCCAGCTGGCCTTAGCACCAGAGACCTGGTTTAGCATTAAACGTGGAGGTTGGCGGCCCTGCATGTGGCAGGGGGTTGGAGATTCATGATCCTTAAGGTCCCATCCAACCCTGGCCATTCTGTGATTCTGTGACCTTGCACATTTAACTTATCAGGGCCGTGGCAGCCAGAGATGCACACCCAGAGCACACTGGGGCCTCGTGTCAGCTGAACACGCTGAGAATTTCAATCTCCAGGGTACCTCTCAGAATCATTAAAAAATTGCACCCAAATCCAATTACTTCTCAGGTACTGTGCCAATTTGATTAAGGCCCATTAAGTATAATTACTGGGCAGGCTACAGGAACACAGAATCAGAGGGAGCTGACATACTAGTTAGTTGGTCTCGCATGAATTCCCTGTAACTGAAATCTGGATTCACCAATATTATTTAAACAATTCAGTGCTTGTTCATCCCCCCCTCCCTTCACAGACAGATCATGTGTAATTGTGAGTTAGTAAATGTTTGCTCTGTGTGCAGACCTCTGGAGGGGCAGCATTCTGATCACGGCAGGAAACAGAATCTCTGGTGCTGCTCAAGTCACACTGAGGAAATAATGTCACCTGTCTGCATCCCAGCAATGCCACCATAGCTGAGTTCACCAGGGCTGGTTGCTGCTCTGGCTGTTGTGGGAGAAGCAATCCATCTGCCTTCATGCAGCATCTGTTTGCCCATGCTGGCTTTTTGCTTTTGTGTTTTCATTTTCTATTTTAAAAGCACCTGAACAAAACCTGGACATAAATGTTTGTCTCTGCAGAGGGGTTATTTGGGATGTTTAAGTTGCTATTCACTGGTAGTGTTGTTGATAACTAAGAAGGCTTCAACCCTGTCTATATGGCTTTGGCAATGAGTGCTCCATGTTCTGCCTTTCCCTTGTCTCTTCTTCCCCTATTTGCTGCCATTGCTGTGCTGTCCTGTGTGCCCTGTCCCCTTCTGAGTGACCTGGGCTGTAGCCTCCTGCAATGCTCTGGTGACATTTCCTTCTTTCCTACCAGGCAGTTGCTATTTTAGCTTATGATTTCCAGGACTGTGGGAGAGAGAATTTCTATCTTGGTTTTTTTTTTTTTTTTTTCCCAAATGATAATTATTTTTATTTCATTTTAAATGCTGTATGGTGCACCTGGGTGTGATAATGGGGCTTAGTGGCTTCCCCATAATCTTTATCATTTAGCCAAGTGTAAATACAAACTGTGCTGCTCTTTCTTCTAAAGCCTAAAACCTTTTAAAGATTCAGGAAGCCTGGATTGTGACCTGCAGTCCAGTTACAGCTCAATTCCCTCTGTGACAGTACAAGAACTTATTTGTGAAAGCCTTTCTCAAGGCTTTGAGAAATGTGTCTGGGAAGCCTGCATTTGTTGGCAAAGGGTAAAGTGCCAGAAGTGTTTATGGGGGTAGGAGGAGAAAAGGGAGTGAAGGAGGTCATTTTGTTCTAGTTCAGGGCCTGGCCATCTTTGATTTATGGCTGAAAATCGACCTGGACGAGTGTTTTGAAAAGAGCAGGCAGTTATTCTCCCCACCACAGATTTAATTCTATGTAAGAAGCCCAGTTAATTTGTGTGAACTGTCAATTACTGTTTTTCAAACATGGGAATGCTCATTCTGATGTTCTTGCCAAAGTCATACTCAGATTTCTCTTACCAGCACTCATGAATTGTAATTATAAAACAAATGAATTTGGAGATCAATTAGGAATTCTAACTAGATCTTCTGATAAAAATGTTGTCTTGAGTTTGGTCTCTATCGCATAGTAATAATCTCTATCAGATGGTGATGCAGCTGCTGTCCCAGATGTGCCGGCCTTTCAGTGAGGATGTGTGTTTTTTTGGTAATGGTAACTAAAAACTTTTATAAACACAGTAATACCATTACTTGTGCCAGAGCTTCTGCAGCCATCAGAGAGCTGTAGAGTCATCCTATG